TTTAGGGAGGCTTCTCTCCACAACTGAAGACTCTCCATGTTTCTGTGTCTCAACATTGACTTCGTCCGTGGAGCCTTGCCTATTACAAAGATAATAAAGGTAGGCATATATTTCCACCACCTCTCCTTCAGAATTCTTCCTTTTTCTCAAATGTTCTGAATCTACTCGAACACCAAACCCTTTTTTGCGAGCATAACGTTCGTAGTAACGAACACACTCGTCCTTAGTGCGAAAAAATATGTTATTCCGCGCTTCATCATCTTCTAGGTCCGAAGTGTTGTGAGCTGCGAGATATTTCCATTACCATTTAGCATCCAATGTGCCCAGAATAATCTCCAGAATACGTCTAACAAAAATCCGTAAACAGTATGCTAACTCATATCAATTAATCTAAAAATAGTATCGGATGGCTCCGACAATGTATCCACACTATAATCTGACATACTAGTATCCACAATAATTAAGTCAATATAAAAAACACCCAGACTGGTATCCACACAAATTAAACATAGGTACACACTACGTCCAACAAATAGTAGGTAAATAGTATCCAACTAGCTCATAGTAGAATCCCTACATGACCAACAAACATTAAACTCACACCAAAGACATTAAATTTCATTCAATGCTCACAACCAAAACTCAACAACACAAACTTATAAATATTTCAATCCACAATCACCTTCTTCTTCTTCTACTGTTGCATCGAAGCCAAGCACACAACCACCATCTATTTGACTCAAACCTTCTAATACACAATCAACAAATTCTTCTTCTTCATGGGACGAGCTCGTTGATGGACAATCTAACTCGGCCTCATCATCGATAATCATCAGAGACGTTTCCCTGGACGGCGGAGAATGAAGAGGAGAGATGAAGGTCGCCGTCGGTGACTTTTCCGTCATAGAAAAGAAGAGAGAATTCAAAGAAAAGAAGAGAGAATGAGGGGTTGAGAGTGTTGAGAGAGAAAAAGTGGTTGTGGCTAGGGGTGGGCAACAGGAAACGGGTATTTGGGTATACCCGTACCCATCCCGTTTTTTAAGGGTTACGGGTATCCATATGACCCGTAATATTTTAAACGGATGGGACTTGGGATTGTACAGTCCTAATATGGGTACCCGCGGGTTACCCGCGAATACCCGTTTGGGTAATATGGGTACCCGTTGTACCCATTCAAATTACAAAGACAGTATTATGGAAGGTGTAAGCATTGCCTAAAGAAAAAGGGGGCTAACGTTCAAATTAAAGACATGAAAAGTTGGTATACTGCTTGTGTAATCAGACACATAACGGCTAGCTTAGCATCATTGATTGAGTTAAGGAAAACATACTATGAGAAATATATGCTTCGTTTTGGCAGGTGAGTATCCCATGATCTTGGGATTAAGAATAAAATCCTCCAAATCAGGGCTCTGTTGAGGGTACTTCATATGTTGGGGACAAGTAGTTAGTGAGGAAAGTGTGGGAGCACCCTAAGGCCACGAAGTAATAAAACCCTTCGGTGATACAGTGGGAAAATGGCAGTGGGTTTGCCTTTGGGATGTAATTGTCTTTAGCTAAAACGTCATCAGGGTTTAGGGACATGTTTTGAAATGAATGCTTGTGTATATAGAGATTGAATTTATGTTTTTATCATATCGTGTTCTTATTATTCCCCTCAAGAGCATGTTATTATTAAGATATATAATGTGATGTCATTTAAACTTTGGGTATTTATGGGTAGTATGGGTACCCGTTATCCGTCCCGTATGGGTAATGGGTACCCGTTTCCCATATGGGTTTGGGATATGGGATGGACTTTGGTCTCCAAATGGGAATGGGTACCCGTTTAAAATGGGACGGGTATCCCGTCCCGTCCCGTTGCCCACCCCTAGTTGTGGCATTAATTGCCACATCACTTCTATTTTTTTATACAAATTGGGGTTTCTTTCCCCAATTTCCCCAAAATCCCCAAAAGTCTGCCCAAACTGATTCGGGCCCACCCATACTAATAGTTGTTCACCGTACCCAATTTGTATAAACTCCCCAAAAGTCTGCCCAAACTGATTCGGGCCCACCCATACTAATAGTTGTTCACCGTAACAAATATCCACACAACTAAGACTAGTATCTCAACATTCCACACAAATATCCAAACACATGAACTAAAGGAATATTCTTCAGGTTCAAATAAATATCCACACAACCCAGAAAAATATCCTAATATTTCAGAGAAAAATCCTGTGATCAATAAAAGATATTACAACTAAGAATGGTAAATATACACAACAACCTAACTAATATCAAATAGTTGTACCCTAATCCCGAACCCTAAACCCTAAACCATGAACCCTAAACAAACAAAACTAAACCCTAAACTCTAAAACCCTAATCACTAAAATCTAAAAAATAAAAACTATTATTGTTTGCCCAAGCCGAGAATATTCAAAGGTTCCACACAAATATCCAAACACATAAACTAAAAGAATATTTCTTCAAGTTCAAATAAATATCCACACAACCCAGAAAAATATCCCAATATTTCAGAGAAAAATCTCGTGATCAATAAAAGATATTACAACTAAGAATGACAAATATCCACAACACACTAACTAATATATCTAATAGTTGTACCATAAACCCTGAACCCTAAACAAACAAAACTAAACCCTAAACTCTAAAACTCTAATCACTAAACTCTAAAAAATAAAAACTATTATTGTTTGTCCATGAGAGAATATTCAAAGGTTCCACACAAATATTCAAATACATGAACTAAAGGAATATTTCTTCAGGTTCATAAAACAATCTCATTGACTGTATTATCATACATCAGCTGAATTGTTACGACATAGAACATAGAAGTATATATCGATTTAGTTCTAACAGTAAACGTCCCCTTCTATCTTATATTACCTACTTTGTAAAAGCTGTGAATTTTTCAACAAGAAACCCTGAACCGTAAAAAATAAACTCTAAAAACAATATAATCATGAAAAATAGATATTCATACTAACCAGACTAAACCTTAAACCCTAAAACAGAACCCAAACCCTAATATTGAAACCTTAACCCTAAGATCAATACCGTAAACCTTAAACTCTAAACCAAACCTAAATCCTGAACCCTAAAAAATAAACTATAAACAATAAAAACTATTATTATTTAATGGGCCTTCGGCGGGCAGGCCTAACTAAGGTTGCAAGCCTTATGTGTTAGGACTTGATAGTATGTTTAATTTGATGTAAGACACAATATTCCAATCCTTCACAAATTGTAAACCCGAACCCTAAACCCTAAAACTTAAACTCTAAATTGGTGTAATCAGTTTCGGGTGGTTGGGTTATTTTGGGGTTTGGTAAATATTAGTTTAATGATGGATATTGGTTTGTGAAGGAAGAATACTAGTTCATTTCAACAGTGATGCAACGTAATATCAACACAACACATAATAATATCGACTGAAAACAAATAAATATCCACACAACAAACATACATAAATATCACATGCCCACGCGGGCCCACAATTTTCATTCTCTCTCCACTCCTCTCCAAAATCCCGCTTAAACTGAAGCGGGCCCACAAAGCCACTTCCTCGGCTCGTCTTCTGCGTCGCACGCTGGGCCGGCTTCTACCCCGAAGCCTATCCCTAGCTCACTTAAGTGAGCCACCACGAGCCCGCCTCTCTCCTCCGTTGGGGAAACATGGGCCGACGTGGCCGAAAATCCGGCCTTGCTAGTATCTGCTAACGAATATAGCAATTAGCATATTAACTTCCGCGGAGAGTGAGATGACATATTTAAAAGAGGAGGAAAATGAGGTAGTGTGAAATAATTGTTCTTCTGCTTTGATTAGTGGATATTCTTGGCCCTATTATGTTGAGTTTTGATTTATTTTAGGAGATGACATTATATTTGACATATTTTTTCTATTTCAATTTAAAATCCTAAATCAATATTATCATTTGGAAGATTTTTTCCTTAATATGATTATTGTAATTTATGAGATTTAAGCGGTATTTGATAATGTCAATATTTTAGTGGTTTTTATTTAAAGTTTGTATTGAAAGATCGTACGTACCGATGGTTAGACCATAAAACTTCACATCATAGGCTAAATCGATAGGTGATATTTAACAATATGAAACGGTTGAACCACAATTAAATTATGACTTCAGTATAAAATACTCTACTACCAACTTTTTCGATACAATTTTACAATCCATTGGTTCAAACAATTCTTTTACACTGGTGAAAACAAAAGTTTTAAGGCACATTTTGAACTATCTATTGCAAAAAAGCATAAGTCAATTAGCGATAATGAGAATATGCGATCTCATGCAATCCGAAAGACACTTCGCAACTTCTATATTTTTAAAATAAATGTATGCTACTCATACCCTCGCTCATTCATCAACTTAATGAGTAACATATATTTCATTTAATATTATTTTCATAAGTTTTATTTATTGAATTATTTCATGAAAAATATATTTGTTGCATGAAAATTACTATATTGTTGCTAGACATGTCTGCGATCTGAGAATAATTTGAGAAGTCTGTACGCAACACATTGTCCAACTAACTATAAGCGACAAGTTTGTATAATGTCTTATATATTTCAAATCAAGCAACTACAGATTCATTACCAACAGTGTGGTAAAAAATAATGTTTTTTATTAGGAAAAACTTAAAGAACATACTAAAATCTATGAAACATTTTCTTTCATCCTAAAGGTTGATTATGTATGTATTATGAGAATCAACTATAATATTCAACTATATGGTTTAATTAATTAATGAATAACAATTAGTTATATTTTTTTCATTCAATAATTATATGTAATGTTTATATTATATATTTTTTCTTTTCATGGAGGTCTAAACACATTATGAATAGTTGGATTACTTTAAAAAAAATTATATGCATAACTAAGATAGAAAACAATCATTTCATGTATTTCAAATTATCTATTACATCCATTATTATATACTATATTTCTCGATAAAATTTTTCAGGCCAACGGGCCGGACCCTGTGTTAGTGATTATTAGATGTGTAGGACGCAAACGTATCACAACTATTATTATTTTTTGAATTTTATTTTGTATTTCATTTATTTTCGTTCAGTAAAACATTAAATGGCTAAGAAAATGGTGTGAACATTACCTAATTAAGCAAGATAGTTAGATAGACTGATAGAGGATAAAAACTATAATGGATTAGTTTACAATTTCTTAAAATTTTCGATTTTGTGATTTTGTCCACCATAATTCCTTTTCCATTTTTAATAATAATCCTTAAGCGGTGCACTGGCACAGCAGGCAGCACCGCCCACCTGCTCCATCCGTCGTCTCGTCCGTCTCGACAAAAATAGTTTTTGGTGGATCCAATTTTTCGATTTCCCTCTCTTTCTCAAATCCTTGGAGGGAAAAAAGGGAATCAAATAAACGCTTCAATCAAAATATTCAAGTTCAAAAAATTTCACAGCCCACTCTCTCTCTCTCTCTCTCTCTCCTGACTGGTAGTAGCAAAAATCTAGGGTTTAGCTGAGCACGCGAGTTCACCGTTCTCTGTTTTCGAGTTTGGAGTCCGGGCGCCGGACGGAGGATGCTTTGAGGTTCGGAATTTGCTCGGCAAGCTGCTTGAACTTACTTCGATCTGATTTTTCGCAAGGTAAAAGAACAAGGGTTCGCCTTTTCTTCCAGCTTTCTGTTCGCAAGTAGCACTATATAGCTGTTTCATTTCTTGGCCCTTCAATCTCATAAATGCTCGTCATTTTGGCGCTTTCGCCTGTGTTTGAGAATCGGAGTGCTTCATTTTGGTACGAGCTTGTGGTGTCCTTTTACCTCGGTGTTGTTGAGCTCGTTTTTCTGGTTTCTGCTTCGTAGCTCAGTTGTGATTTGAAGGGAGTTGATTCTGTTGAGTAATTTGGTGAATACTTGATTGGTTTACTAGGTAAGATTAGGTTTTGGGGAATGAAGTTGATTACAGAATAATAATGACGAAACATTTTGTTTATTATGTAGGATTTGAAGAAACCCTTGAGTGGAAATTGCTGGCCGTTGTTTTTTTCTTTCTGTGTGTAGTAAGAATTTTATGAGATAGTCTCCACATATTATATTACATGCATTGGATGCTTTAATTTGTTTTCTGCTGTCATTGAATGCATTTGCAGTTTGATTTTGAGTGCAGGTATTGAGCATTGATCACTGTTAGCTGGTGAATACGAAACTTGTGAAGGATTTTTAGTGTTCTTTTTCCTGTGACAATGCAAACCAAGAAGAGACTTTCCGGGAGGAGTAGTTGTAGAGAGAATGGAAGCACTAGGGTGTCCAGAACCCAGAGGAAAGGATCGGAGAACACGCATGTTGGTCAAAAGAAAGCTACAGATCTAATAACATCTTCGGCAAGAAAGCCGAAATGTGGTATGGTCTACTCTCCTACTATGTTATTTTGGCGATGATGCTTGGAAAACTCAGTATTGATCTTCTGATGTTGCCGTGTTAGACTTGTTACTGATTTTTCTGAACATGATTCAAGCTTATTATTGCCTAATGTTTGGGTTCTTGACAACACAAAGCCAAGTAGTCGTAGATTTCTTGTGAGGGCGCGGGAGTTCTTTTCTATTAAAAGCTATTCATTGATAACATAGAAGTTTGTTCTTACCTTACTGTGTTAATATTTGTCATATCGGTAAGCTTGATAGCATTAGTTAATTTTTGGGACCTTTTGGTTTTTCGATGTTGTTGATGCTGTAGAAGTATCGTGGATGTATCTACTTTAGAGTGCTTGTACTACTTGCCTCTGCCAACTAATCAATTAAGAGTATTCCCATTCCTCTTGGTACTCTCTGTAGGCACATCTGCAAAGAAACTTGTAGAGCCTGTGGGAGGAACAGATTTGGACACCAGATATGGCCTTGCCAATGACAAAGCATCCAGTGTTCCTTCTGATTGTGATGTGGTGAATAATGAGGTTTGCAATTCTCACTCCAACTTTCTCGTGTAATATTCTTCTTCAATGCAACTTCTGTGTTCTTTCTTGGGCTTGAATAAACGAGGTCTATCCTACTAAGCTGCCACACACTTAGCAGGGGATTTCTTGCAGTAATTTTCTGTACTGAGAGCTTCAAGTAGAGGTAGAATACAGAAATTAAGTTTGATTGTGTGCAGGGTTGCTATGTTGGAGCTACTGAACATGCATCTGAAACTATATTTTCTCCTGGTCATCACAATGAAGGTAGGTTATACATAGACAGCTAAATCTTATGAGGATCATTTTTGACTGCTTGATCTTGTTTTAACGTGCTTATGAGCCATCAATCTTAAAATAGGTTTTGTGTCATGTCATTGTAGTTGACTTTATCAAATCATTCCGGACTGCCGAGCAGGCTTCTCTACAAGATAGTGTCACAGGGTATTCGACCATTGATATAACAACCTTTTCATCTACTGTTGAGGATAGCATATCAGGTGAGAGCAAATCGACTACCATGCACATGACTGCAGGCGATCAAAGATTTCTCAACTGAAATGTTGCGATTTCTTGTGGGTTATGCAGATACAGAGGGAGCTGGGCTGTCATCTGAAGTTTCAGCCATATACCTTGCCATGAGGAATTCAAAGCTTGAATGTGTGGACGAGCATGGACAAGATCCTATGTCGACTGATGTGTGCTTGGAAGAGGATGAGTATGAAGAGTTTGAGGATTTTGACCCGTATTTCTTCATTAAGAACTTGCCTGAATTATCCTCAGTGGTCCCCACTTTCAGACGTGCTTTGTTGCCCAAGCAGACTCGAAGTTGCCCGCCAACCACTCTCGTCTTGGACCTGGATGGTGAGGATCTCAGTAGCTCATCCTTTCATGCTTTATACCTTTTCAACCCTTCGCAGCCACTTAAAACCCATTGCGTTCATGGGTAAATAGGTTGGCTTGATGGCTTTCTATAGAATTACTATTTAGTGTCTTGATATTTTGCATCTTCTGTGCTTTGGAATTTCATATATTCACAATGAACAAATTTGTATCCAACCTGCTTGCCACACTTAGATAACTGATTAATGACGTTAGTAACTGATAAAAGCTTTCTTTCTTACAGAAACTTTGGTGCACTCCACTCTAGAACCATGTGACGATGCTGACTTCACATTTCCCGTGCACGTTAATCAAGAGGATCATATGGTTTACGTTCGGTGTCGTCCTCATCTTAGAGATTTCATGGACAGAGTTTCTACTTTGTTTGAGATAATCATATTTACGGCTAGCCAGAGTATTTATGCAGAGCAGCTTCTGAATGTTCTAGATCCAAAAAGGAAAGTGTTTCGCCACCGTGTCTACCGGGAATCTTGTGTTTTTGTGGAGGGGAACTACGTCAAAGATTTGACAATCCTTGGCCGTGATTTGGCTCATGTTATCATAGTTGATAACTCCCCGCAGGTACTTCTACTGTTACATAATTCACTCTTTGGTACTGCACGCTATGCCTATTATACTTCTATGTTGAGTTATAGAAAGTTCAGGTCCAACTGTACTCAGTTCTTGGTTGGTGGAATTGATCATTTTACATCTTGAATCTTGAATGAATTGGCAACTCATCAATCTTGACGAGATAACATTTATGCTTATGTAGTTTTGATGAGATCATCTCAAATAGGGTGCAACAATTGAAGCGGGTTTGAATTGTTTTATTTCTGGACACTCCAACTAAGGGAGGGAAAATTGTTTAAAGTTAAACCAAAACCAAATTCCACGATTTCGAGCAACTGAAACTGACTTATTTGATTTGGATATTGGTTTTGGTAGTTGAATTTAGATTATTTTTTTTGGGTTTTGGAAGCTTAAAAGACGTACTGGTGAAATATTAACTTGCAGTAAATTCCATCAAAGATGATATGTCCTAGTAAATTCACGATAAGTTTGTTTGAAATCTCAGCTAGCCAGAACTAAAACCAAAGTACGAGGTTTTGGTTTCAGTTAACCAGAAAGTAAATTGCTTTGGTTTCACAAATACTTTCTTTTAGATTTTGCGTAACCAGAATCCTGATCTGATTCCCAACTCACGAGGTTTGATGTCTTTGCAGGCCTTTGGATTCCAAGTAGACAATGGCATTCCCATAGAGAGTTGGTTTGACAACCGTGATGATCAGGAACTGCTCCTGCTACTTCCATTTCTCGAAACCTTAGCACGCACCGAAGATGTTAGGCCTGTGATAGCCGGGAAATACAATCTCCGACAAAAAGTTGCTGCTGCTACTTTCCCTTCTCTAACCTCATTTGGAGATCCTCTCGAAAGGTAAAAAAAAAAAACACTCCCATTCGTGTACTTAAAGCTCTGTTGTATTTCTAGTGGTGGGAACTGGGAACAAAGGAGATTTTTTCCAGATTGTACAATGGACAACAACCCTTGTATTATTTTCCTTTTTGGCTTCTTTCACATATTGGACAACGATTTGTGGTGAAAACTCAACTTTCCGTTTTCGTCAATAGCTCTCGACGAAAACGAATGAGGAACAGAGAAAGTGTCTGCTTCCAATGTGGAAGACCTGTCGTTCGTTTGTAGATGTAATGTTTTCATACAGAGCCTTTTGCAAGAACTAGAAAACAGATGATACTAATAACAAGCTTGCTGTGCAATAGAGGTTAATGCATTGGTGAGTTGATCAGCTGTGGATGTTTTGTGCTGCCTTGTGATTTCCTTTAGCCAGTGTGATTCTCAGATTCTAGCAGGTTTCCTACAGCTCTCTTGGAAAGAAGGGGGTTTTGTTTCCTGGGAAAGTAAATAACATTTTCACTGTACATCGTTCGGTTGGGTGTGTAGTTGCGAGCTTTTGTTATTTGTAGTATCATTTTTTTGATAGAATTTAATATTTTTTATTCAAATGCATACAATCATGCAATTTGGAATACAGAAGGCTCAAAACCTGAAGGCATTCGTAAAATATAGAAGTGGATTGAACAATTTGTTTCACCAGTGTATTGAATAAAACTATACTTAAAGAAAGTAACTAGTAATTCAGGCAAGTAATATTCGATTATGAACGCAGCTAAATAAATATACTTTATTATGAACTGTTTATTATTTATTTGAAATTCGATGAAACCGAGTCAAGCATGAATTCGTGATTTGCTAATTTACAGTCTTCTACTTCTGTTGTAGTATATTTCTCTTGTTAAACAAAACTTGTTTGGATGAACTGAAATATATCTCTATCCGAAAAAGGAAAACGTAGGAAATAAAAATGGTCAAACCCCACCGTAAGCATAATATAGTGGCTCCTCCGTATGTAGAAATGGGCGAGGCCCATTAGGCCCAAACAGCAATACATTCGTGCGGGCCCCACACGATGGAGTAAAACGCTGTTATCCAACGTGGAGGGTGACGCATCCATTTCCCCGACGAAATCGGTCCTCAGCTCCTTGCCGTTTCGCGTGGGGTTTCGGTTTCCCTCCCTCAATTCCCCGCATTTTGCAGCGTGTCGTCCAAGCTTCCATAAGTCTGGGCGCGGTGCTGGAACTAACAAACTCAGACACTCACTCTACTCTCGCTAGGCAACCGCCTTTATAAACCAGGGATCCTCCCAAACATCGCCATTTTCACTCACCATTTGTATTCATTTCAGAATTCAAATATCCTCTCTCTCGAACACTCTCAATTTCTGTTGTCGTCGTCGTCGAAAACCTCTCCTTCCTCAGATCTCAACGCCATGGTAATGGTAGTTGGCTCAGAGAAAACTCAGTCCGTTTGATTATGTGCTAGTTCTTCGTCTGAATTGGCTCTCGAGCTGACCTCGGTTCGTTCAATAATTGTTGTTTCAGGCTGTCGCGCATAAGGTGAAGGAGGCGGAAATCACCGAGCAGGATTCGCTTCTGCTGGTATCCACATTCTGTTCCCTTCACTGCTTCCGTTCTTCTTCCTCGTCTATCTAAATCATTTACAATATGGAGTAGAGAGTCTTGAACCCTGCATTGCGAGCTTGTTTAGAGTACAGATCTCGTATTCTTCTGTGCTACTCAGATGCTCTGTTTGCTTGCGCTTTCTTTGTTTACTGGAAATGCGCGCTTGTCTCTTTGTTTTTGCTCGGATTCTTTCTGTATTCTCTCGCTTAAGTTAGTTTCTATTGAGATAATGGCGCCTTGCCTTCATGCTTCGGTTGCGAGAATTTTCTTTAGCTCGCAGTGAAAGCTCTATTTCTGTTTTTAGTTCCTTCGATCTTCTGGAATTCGTTTCATATATCGAGTATGCGCTAGCGGTATACTTGCTCGGATTCCTTCAGTAATTGTGCGATTTCTTCTGTATGGATGCTACCTTAAACTTCCGTTGCGATTGTTTCTGAACAACTGTTAAACCTTAGTTCTTCTATTCTCTAGCTTCTTCGTTAGAATCGCTCTGTGTTTATTTGAATTTTAATTTTAATTTCTGTAACAGACGAGAAATCTGATGAGGATAGCGATTTTCAATATCAGCTATATCAGAGGCTTGTTTCCAGAGAAGTATTTCACCGATAAGAACGTTCCTGCTTTAGGTAACTAGAATCTCAGTTTGAAATCAATTTTCTGAATAAAATTTGGAAAAGAAAAAGAAACAGTCGGTGATCTTGTTTGTAAACTACGGCTCCGTGAACAGAGATGAAGATCAAGAAGTTGATGCCTATGGATGCTGAATCTCGTCGACTGATTGACTGGATGGAGAAAGGTACTGATGAACTTTTCTTGTTCACCTGGTTTCGCTTAACCTAACTTCGCCGTTGTTTACACTCTTCTACTCAGGTGTCTACGATGCATTACAGAAGAAATACCTCAAGATGCTTTTGTTCTGTGTATGCGAGGCAATAGACGGACCGATGATAGAGGAGTACTCATGTAAGTAACTCTCCATGGAGGTGATTGTGATTCTGAGTGAAGTCTAGCTTATGGCTTTTATCTTTTGCATCTCTCGGTGTTTGTAAGTGTCTTAAGGGAGTGATTCTAATGGTTCTCGTCGTGTTGCAGTTTCCTTCAGTTACTCTGATTCTGATAGTCAAGAGGTCTCCATGAACATCAACCGCATTGGAAACAAGAAAAAGGGAGGAAGCTTCAAGTGTAACTCTGTGACGGAATGCACTCCTAACCAGATGAGGAGTTCGGCTTGTAAAATGGTGCGCACTCTTGTTCAGTTGATGAGAACTCTTGACAAGATGCCTGAAGAGGTAAGTTGTTCTAGGTAGTTGGTAGCATTGATCACAAAATGTCTGCAGGTTGATCAATTCAGTGACTAACTTGTAGTTGTGTTTTTGTTTGCAGCGCACCATACTGATGAAACTCCTCTACTATGATGATATCACGGTATGCCTGCTGTTAGAAGACTCTTCTTATGTAGTGTTTATTACTTCTGGATCTGAGTAACTCTATGATCCTAGGGATTTCCATAGTAAAAGTTTCACCTCACGATTAACTTGTTTTAGTCTAGAACAGTGCCAGTAAATTATTCTGAAAATTGCAGCCTCCAGACTATGAGCCGCCATTCTTTAGGGAGTGCTCAGAGGAAGATGCTCACAATCCATGGACTAAAAGCCCTCTGAGGATGGAGGTTGGAAATGTCAACAGCAAGCATTTTGTGTTGGCACTCAAGGTAAGACTGAGTGGTTTGGTTCACGCTTCATCTTGTAGGGGTAATTGAACTGATGGGTTTGTTTCTATAGGTAAAGAGTGTGCTCGATCCATGCGACGATGGAAATGAGGACATGGAAGAAAATGCTGTGAACTTAGGAGCTGATTCTGATCCAGGCGAGGACTCTTCAAATGGCTCTGACAGTGAGGTGAAGTGTTTTATTTTTGACCTTTTTTGTTGCAAGTTAGCTCTCCTTAATGGTTGCACATGGATGAACAAACTGATCGAGTATAGTCTAATATTCTATCTTAACTTCATGGCTTTCCAGGATAATGAATCAGAAGACCGATTCATAGTAGCACCAGCAGGTAATTACAGAACCTCTTGTTAGCTCGCAGTCTCTTAGTAAGAATGTTGCTGAAAAGTAATGTTTGGTCCATATGAACAGGCAAGCAGAAGCAAACAGAAATAGATTCTGGCATCCCTGATCAAGGTAACACTTCCAGTTTAGACTTGGAAGACCACTACATGCCATCCTAAGATCTCGCCTTAACATTGAATTGAAAAGTACTTAGCTGCAAGTGCTGGAACCCTTTTCTCATTTATGTTACTTGTTGCCCAGATGATACTCAGGATCCGGAGGAAGATGAACAGCAACTTGCTAGGGTGAAGGACTGGGTTAATAGTTACCATCGTGATACCATTGAACTAACTGATATCCTCTCCCATTTCACAGATATCACAGTGGTAAGAAAATCTCTTGCTGATACACTGTGCTGTTTTCAACCCTTCCCTTGCTTCCTAAGTTCTGACTGTTGGTATTTGATCCATCGATGCAGGCTTTGACCAAAGGTAAACTGCCTGGGACCATTGAGGCTAAACGATTGCTTAATAAAACTTTCAAGTACTTGAGCTACTACTACTTTCAAACTTATTCTTGATTCCCCTTTTTATTGATTACAGAAATCATCGACAAGCTTGTGAACCAAGGTGTTCTATCAAAAGCAGGCACAGATCTTTACACCATAATCAAGCAGAAGGTTCAATTCTTTCTTAGTTTTCACTTTCACTGTTTTTTTCCAAACTGGTCATGAGTTTTTGGACTGATGCAGTTCTCTGTTTTGGCACAACAGACATCTGAGTTTGACTTCATGACGGTCAAAGAGGAAATGAAAGGCCAAGCAGCACAAGTTGGGGATAAATCTCCACAGGTCGATGATTACTTGTACATGAAGGTACCATTCTTTCTTCAATCTCCAGAAATCAGTAGCCTATATGAAGTGTCCTTAATGACCTGTAACTACATTCTCTGACTCATTTTACCAGGCTTTGTATCATGCCCTTCCAATGACCTACGTGACCATACCAAAGCTTCAGAATGAACTTAAGGGAGAAGCTTGCAACCTAACTACGCTGCGTAAACTCATGAACAAGATGACCAACGATGGTTATCTTGAAGCAAAAGGCAGCCGCAGATTAGGTGATCATTATCTAGCCATATTAACACCAGCCCCTATTCTTTTCCTTCTTTCCCCTTTCGCTTCCTTCTTCATAATGTACTTGATCAAGTCCTAATCATTGGTCTTTCATAGGCAAGCGTGTGATCCATTCCTCGGTGACTGAGAAGAAGCTCACGGAAGTGAAGAAAGCCCTCCTCCAAGACGACCCAATGGTACTAATAACTAATGACGCAGTGACTCCAGTAACATCAATACGCTGTCGTTTAAGCTTCATTCTGAAAAATTGGAGAACCCTCTTTTGCATCTCTGACAGGATCTCGACACTAATGAAAATCAAACCAAGGCAGCAGCTCCAGCAGAACTCCCTAAATCCGGTTAGCGCCAATTCTATCCACCTATCGAGAGTTGTGCCTTCCCCTCTGAAATGAATGAAGCCCCCAAGTAACTAACTGTCAATTCTGGTTTCAGGAACGAAACAGAGAGACAATAATAACTCAACCTGCGGAGGTCTCCATTCGGTCGGGTCGGATTTGACCCGGACGAAGCTGGGATCTGTCTGGACAGAGCAGACAGTCTCGAAGCCGAGGGAACATGGAAACACCCCAACTAGCAAGGCTGCTGAGGTAAGAGTAAGCACTGAATACTTCAAGGAAGTAACCTTTGTGCTGTGTTTTCATCGAATGGTTAGACTCTAATGAGATAGTTTGATTTCATTCACCTTTGCTGGATTTCTGCACAGCCGGTTGCTTCGAGGGAGAGCGGAAATGTGGAATCCGTTCTCTGCAGCAGATCTTCTCAGGACAGGAAGGGCAGGAAATCCAGCACGGTACGTATAAACATATCTCCCACAGCTTAATGCGTCATCGCTTCCAGTTTGCCTTTACCAATACTTAACTGGAGCGTTGAATTTAAATCTTCTTCTTCTTCTTCTTCTTCTTCTTCTTCTTCTTCTTCTATCAGGTTAAGGATCCAATAATCCAGTACAAGCGTCTGAAATCCCAAGCCGCTCTCTAGAGTCCGAAATCAGCATATACTGGATGTTTAGTTGACTGCTTGATCAGGTTATAGACTTATAGTAAGTCAGTTCCTGGCTCACAAAGGAATGCGAGGCTTCTTAAAGTTCCACTTGTTTTGTAGTGTGGCTACTTTTACTGTTCAGTTGTCAGACAAATTTGTTTCTGTTTAGTGTTTACAAACTAGGCCCTTTGAATATCCGATCATAGTTTTATAGATAGATAAGTAGTGAAGACAAATGATGACGAGTTATTGGGCTATGATTAGGGATGGCAAATTACCCACCCATGGGTAATTATACCCAAACCCAAGTAGACCCATTGATAATGGGTTGGGTATGGGTGAAGTGCATATGGGTTTGGGGGTTCATAGATGGGTTTGGGTTTGGGGCTTCCATAATCTAAATGGGTATGAGTTGGATATGGATATCCATTTACTTGAGGGTGTTTTAACTACACATGCAAAAATTGGACCTATTTGTAAAACTTGAAAAGTTTAGGTACCAAAATGCAAGACCAAAAAAATTTAGGTACCAAAACGTAATTTTCCACCGATATTTTGAGGACTTATATGCAAAAAAATTAAATTTAGGTACTAAATATGCATGTCTATTAAGTTTGGGTACCAAACTGTAATTTGTATTTGGGCATGGGTACAAACCCAAATCCATTTGATATAAACTCAACTCAACCCAAAGTAAATGGGCATGGGTACAAACCCATCAAACTCTACCCATATCCATCTATTTGGATTTCATACCCAACCCAATTGGATTGGATATTAAGAAACCCATTGGTATGGGCAAAGTTGCCATCCCTAGCTACGATCACATCTCGTGTGTTGGCCTTTCCCCTTGGTGCATGAAATCGTCCATTTTCCTTCTAATAATATGAGTAGAGCAATAAATAATGATTACAACCCGCTTTCTACTGCTGCTGATCCTTAAAAACTACGTAGCTGAAACGTCCCTGTCCATAGTTTATTGGCTGCCTTTCACTGAACTGCTGCTAGCCCAATTTTTCTTATCATGATTAATATTTTTAATTTTTGTTGCTCCTCTGATACTGTGTGACCTTGTTTGATAATGACTGCATGCTAATCTTCCTTTCTTTTCTCATTATGAAGTCTTTTCCTTCAAGAGTCTGGAACTTGAAAGTTTATGTGGCAGTATTTGTACAGGGCTAAGAAATGATCCAAAGTTTTGTCCTTTGTGCCCATGTCTTAATCTGCTGTGCAAGAGCCCCTAGTATAACCATCTTTTTCCGACCAAAACATTGCTACTATGCTGTTGCGCTGCATAATTTCGTGATTTCAATTATTGAATTCGTACAACAATATATGTGCAAGTAATGTTCTTATTTGTATGTAGTGAATCAGATAACAACACCATATAATTTAATGATATATATCCCACTCTAATCAACTCTCCAGACAAATCAAATTAAAAGATGCTATTATTTTGAACATTCGAACTCGTCTCATTGAATCCGGGTGACGAAAATCTTACTGATGCAGGAGATGATAATTTAATCCTATCGTCAGAATTTGACAAAGAAAGAGTCGGTATGCAGCCTGCAGGAGGAAAAAGCAATCACAAACTCCGTTCCCATACAATTATGATGTCGGCACCTTTGGTGTGCGCTTGGGACTGCTAACCGCCCTGAATGGACAGCCTTGGCTAAGGAAACGAGAGAAAGAATAATCGTTCGTCCCCACTCTCCCACGTAGGGATATGGCAGTTTTGACCTGACTCGTTTTATTCAACTTGTTTGGTCTGTTTTGGCTACTATGATCTGTCCAATTCTCGACCCGTTTTTACTTAAATTACATTTAATTTTAGTCAAATTATTTAGAATTTTTCTTTTATTACAACATATTTTAACCATAATAAAGTTATAAATTAGTGAAAGTCTCAATTTCTCCAATAATTTAACTACATTGACCTGTTCCGACCCACAACCCATAATAAATTACCCGACCTGTTACGAGGATCTAAGTACTAAAAAACTCACCTTGAACCTGTCTCATTGCCATTCCTGCTCCCACATCATTGTATCAATTCCCTCTCCTTAACTACGTCCACGTGTCCTTCAGGAAACCTCTATTAATCTCACCTAGACCACTATCCCCCAATCTCAAACCGACCCCACGACGCTCACAGAGGACGAATCTTCATCACTAAGCGTGACCCGGACCCCACCTCACCATCATTTTCAGCCCTCCGATCATTCCAACGGCCCCGATCGAAACCACCCCCAACGATAAACCACCCGCCCGCCCCGCTTTATAAAACCCGCGCCACTTCCAGATCTCTCTCTCAACTAGCAATACTCCATCACTGTTAAAGGAAAGGAAAGGAAGTGAAAGAATTCACTCCCAAGGAAGGAGAAAGAAAGCTCCCTCGGTTCGGTTAGAGAGAGAAACGGAATCCGGAATCTCGTTCCCACGCAGTTTACGTTTTGCTCGCACCGTGGAAAAGGTACGTACAGAGAGAGAGAGAGCGCTTTTGATGCGATTCACTCGTTTCTCGTGTGATTGGAGTTTGTTTCGTTCTGTTTCTCTTCTTAATTCTGTATCTGTTTTGTTGGTGGATTGTGTGCAGATGGAATCGGAGAAGAAGGCGAAGAGCGGTGGTGGTGGTGGTCCGGAGCTGAAGCATTTGGGGATCGTGAGGTTGGCGGCGATCAAGGCGCTGGTTACCGTCTCGAGTCTGTACGGGTACGCGAAGCAGAACTCGGGCCCGCTGAGATCCGCCGTCGGCACCGTCGAGGGCGCCGTCTCCTCTGTCGTTTCTCCTGTCTACCAGAAGTTCAAAGGCGTTCCCGATGATCTCCTTGTCTTCTTCGACAGGAAGGTAAGCCGGACGGACTACTCTCCTTTTTGGTTTTCCGCCAGGGCTTGTTTTCTGTTCAGATCACACCGGCCTCCTCCTCCGTTTGGGGATTTCTATTTATGGAATTGTGAATCTGATCGGGAATATGTACTGTTATGGTTTCTTACTGAACTAGAGAGGTTTTAGTAGGATTTGGCGAGTTTGTTCTGTTCGTGCTAGGAGGATCAAGGATGGCTTTCTGTGCGTGTGTTCTGCTCTTAATTGCTATTCGTTGTATCATGAGCCTAGATTGTTACCTCATCAGGAATTTGTGCCATTTTCTCTGTTGTGTGTGGAATGTGGGGAGTGCTTGGAGAGCTTGAATTAGAGAGCTTTTACAAGGATTGTTACGGAATTCTGATTCGAGATTGACAATGATCTCAGAACAGCTCTCTTAAATGATAGAAACTTTCAGTCTCTTGATATTCTGATTTTCAATCTAGCTTGATTTGGGAATGTTCAATTTGACATCTTGAGGCATTCATCTTCATATTGGATGGAATTTTCAGTAGGTCATGGACTTCATTAGCAAATATCCCTCTACTTGAGAATGGAGGTTGATCGAATTCGGTTTTGTTTGATTCAACAGGTAGACGAGGCTTCCGCCAAGTTCGACAAGCACGCACCACCAGTAGCAAAGAAGGTAGTTGGCCAAGCCCAGTCCCTGTTCCACTCTGCAGCCGAGAAGGCTGAGAAACTTGTGAATGAGGGCAGAACCAAAGGTCCCAAAGCCGCCTTCTGTTACACAGTGACGGAGACCAAGCACGTTGTGGTGAGCAACTCTGTGAAGGTGTACTGCATACTGGACAGGTATCCATCTGTCCACTCGATTGCGGAGTCCACTCTGCCGACTGCAGCACAGTGGTCGGAGAAGTATAACGAGACTGTGAAGGGCTTGAGCCAGAAGGGTTACCCGCTGGTTGGTTACTTCCCTTTGGTGCCGGTTGATGAGATCGAGAAGGAGTTTCAGCGGGAGAAGGGCGAGGTGAAGAAAGAGGAGCATGCAAATGGAGGTACTAAGCATAAGAAGGAAGGAGATTCATCTTCTTCATCGGATTCGGATTAGGTGTTTGGAAATGTTTGAAACGTGGTTGGCAATGATGGTGAAACAGAGGTTTAGTTCTGTGTGTGTAGAAAAAATCTGTAAGACCATCTGAAATGCTTTTCTCGGAAGACTGCTTTGGCATGAAATGATAATGCGAGAGAGATTTGTTTAGTGTAAGTACAGTTTGTTTCAGTTAGGTGGCTTTGAAAACCAGTACTTTGGAGTTTGTAGGGTGAATCGTGATACTGTAAGGCGAAGTTCGCCATTGTAGTTTGGCTTGAGCTGCAGTTTGAAGCTTAATTCAGAGTGGTCTGAAATCTTCCGCCTCAGTTGGTTCAAAATCTTAGTTCTGCTGATTTGTTACAATCTTCTCACGTCGACAAATTTCACAAGTTGAGCACCCTCTTACAATCAGTTATGGCTCTTGTTCATCGTCAGCTAAGCGAATTGATTGTAAATACAATTTCCTGTGATCCTTCAATATTAGTACTGGACACGGAATACCACTTCTGTACTCTGACTTTATGAAATAAAAAACGCAACCTTACACAGGTCTGTGCAAGTCTACGGCCATCCAGGCAAAACCAGTACAAGTAACATGAAGCACAATAAGACATCAATAATTGTACTGTGGGCTACAGAGTGCAACAGTAGCCAGTGTACCACGTTGCTGGTTGAGGTCATTCCAAAACGACATGATTTATATTTCCATTGTTCAACTGGAGAAGAAAATTGCACAAAACAGAGTTACATAGACAATTATTTCAACCCGAGTATGTATGTATTCGGAACCAGGAAACACACTGGGCAAATAGTTCATGAGTTCTCGGACAATCACACAACCAGACGGTCTTCCTTCAAAGTGAAAAAAGCTCGTCCAGGCAACCAGTCACGCTCCTGCGCCAAACAACTGGAGAAGATATAATTGCTTGTGCAAATCCCACAGCATAATGGACGAAAGCAGTTGACATGCAAGATCAGATGAATGAAATAGGAACAGCAATCAAGTGTAATATAAAGGAATCGCTTTCCAGGAAAGCTGCTTTAATCTCCCATCTATAGCTCTATCAGCAAATTTAGCTACCATAATGCTAAACCATCAGCTACCAGATATCAGGATTACTCATATCAGCTGTTGACTAAAAACAAATGAAACAGATCTCAATGCTTCACTTTGAACCACTCAACCATCTCTCCTACACAGTGCTAACATCACAGAAACTGAGTGACAATAGAGTAATTCATAACAACTTGTTGGCTGATTGAACAATCAAAACAATTCCAACACATCCAAATCATAATGAGAAAACATAATGATCGATATCCCTGAGTGATTCATATAAAAACATGAGATAATTGCACAATCAACAACATCACCATAAGCACATCAATCAAATTTAGCCCAAAAATGTAAACCCGAACCTGCGAGAATGAAAAGGTCACTTGGGAGGAGGATGACCATTGAGTGTGCGAAGAACATCATCATAAGGGTCCCTCCGGCCTTGGACCTGGCTGATCTGAGGATCCCAAAATAGCTGCGCATTGTGGCGATCGAACGTCCAGAACCCATAAGGGCGGAGAGGCAAGCTCCACATCTCCTTCGTCTTCTTGCACCGATCCTTCATCGAGTACACATGTTCCCTGAACCTCTTGTCCCTCTCTTGAGGATCCTCCATCAACCTCAGGATCAGATTCTCCGCAAACTCCTTCACGAACCCCATCTCAAAATGCAAACCCTAATTCGTCCAATCGAAGATCGGAATGGCACAAGAACAGAAATTCACGCAGGGAATTGAGAGAAAACTGAAGTCAGTCGAGTCGAATCAAAGCAAAATCAAATTAGGATTACGAGAGGAAGATTCTTACAAGCTGGTGTCTCTGATTGCGGTATCTAGCGGGAGAAAACTGTGTGGGGGAGAGAGCAGAGAGCTCGACCGCGAAGGAAAAGAATAAAACGGAACCAGATCGCGCGAGGTAGCTGGCGACTGATGAGAAATGGACCAAATGCCCAAAACTCATTTGAAGTTTTTCAGGCTTGTCGTTCACGGGCCTAATCGAATTCAAACAGTAGTCTAATGTAAAATAGGAAAAAGCCTAATAATGCAACTAAAGTCCAATGGGCTTCATCTATTTTCTTGAACCTGATAATTGATTTAATCCATTTCATGTAATTTTCTTTTAATTTCTTGATATGGCCGACTGAATAAGGTGTTTTTTTGGACAAATACTATGGTGCCGCTGTTAAAAATGCGGCACCAGTAACGCGACTTCTAATTGGTCCATGTAGGATGTGATGTGGCAGTGGGTAAACTCGTTAAATTAAAATCAAATTCGATGGCCCATAGAACGGGCTCAAATCGCCCCTGCCAAAATAACGGAGTATGAGCTTTCCGTCTTTCTTGAAATCTGAATCTATTATTTCTTTAATGTTTTTGTTTTCATTAAATCATTTACACTGAATTTGTTTATTTAGAGGAATGAAAAAACGAATGAAAAATACTGAACACATTGTCGTCTTCCTCTGTCTCCCACTTTGACAGAGTGTAAAAGCAATAAAATTCTTGGCAAACTTTTCCGACGACGATATACTCCTATATATCCTCTTCGATTCACCCCGAAAAAAAACATTCACTATCTTCGTTCTCTAAATCGCATCTTCCCCTGATCTTGGCCCCAATGTCATATATCCGAATTCTGATTTTACGTTGGTCTGTCTGTGTGGCTCTGTAGGTTTGATGGGGTCGTAATGCCCAGATAGAAATCGGAGTGAACCCGTCATATGTAGTATTAGGTATCCTCCTTAATCCTTCTTACTACAGTTTGGGCAACCTAATTCCGAAACCTGATGCAGTTTCCTCCTTCCCCACTCCGCCCTTCGCCGCCCATCCTCAACCTAGGTCACTTCAGATCACCCACTTCAGCGTCCTCTCTCACTAGTTCTCGGGCTCGACTTCTTCCCTCACTCACTCGGGTTTTGATTTGGATTTTGGCGTTGTTCTCTCTTGCTCCCTACCTTCTAAGTCCCTGCTTTTGTTGGTGGAGGAGTAGCCACACTAGTTGGGGGCTTGGGGCCTCCCCATATCCAGGCACATCTTGGGTATTAAGGTGATTTCTCACCATCTTTTGTTCTAATATGCATAGATTTGGATTAATTGATCTGTGTGAATACTTGTTGTGTTTTCAGGTAGAATGACTATAGAGATTGATTGGGGTGGCTTCGTTGATTTTAGTTTTTACTAGTGTATATATCTATGATTGATTGGATGACTCCATTTTGTCGTCCCCGTTGAGCTAAAATTTGGAGAGGTAGACTGCGCAATCGCCAGAGGAGGAGGTTGAGTGGCGGTGGATGGTGGCGAAAGTAGGACATACGAAATTAATTGGATCCAGAATATGTTACATTAATTTTAATTTAATTAATGAAAAACATAAACAAAAAGGCATTAGACGGAGAATGGTTCTCTCCGTTAGTTTGGGAGGGCTTGTTGGGCCACTTCTAATGGGCCATCGGGGCTGGGTTGAGAACTTGAGATGAAATTAATCTAGCCAGTGCCACATCAGCACACGTGGACCAATCAGAAGTTGCGTAACCGGTGCCGCACTTTTTACAGCGGCACCGTAGTATTGGCCGTTTTTTTAAGGGAGCCGACTGAATAATGTGTTTAACACTCATGAAGTGTATTTTTGGTAACTGCTCCTCACAACAGTAGTTATCGTCTCGGTCAAAATACAAGTTCCCTCATTTTCCTTTCAAATTGATTCCTCTTCTCCGTCGCGACTTGAAATTACTATGAGACTTGAAAACTTACGCGATAATTGCAATGGTCAGCCTTATTCACTTCTGCATTGTCGGCCATCATTGAAATATTCAATTCTATTGCATTTTCTTTCTTCTATCTCATTATCTCTAGTTCTAGTCGACAGTCAAATCCTCACTTCGTAGGCGATGCTACTCCTCTACATGAGCGCCGTCATTCTCCGTTGGACTCCTAGTTCCGCTCGCCTATCGAAATCCGACCCCAATATCACCTCCGACGCAATAAAACAACATTTTACAGGTGCACATCCTAAATTTTGTGGAACTGTAACCGTATGAATTCCATGTAATTTCTTATTAATGTTTCTCGAGTTTTCATGCTCGTATGTTTCTAGTTCCAAATTATGATGTTTTCTGGAGTATTATTTTGAAATTCTTGTGTAGTTTCACATATTTATGGTTTGTTTCATTACGCTTATGATGCCACTTCTCGTCTTCCTGATTTTGACGACGTGACTATTTTAAATGCAGACTACCTCCAGCTAGATAGAAAAATCGTACAAAGTTCAAAGTTGTTTCTTTGGGCTTCTTAGTAGAGTTTCTCTATCCATCTATCCATTTGCTTCTCTTGTAATGGGTTGTCCTCGAAGCCCCAACTTTTGGTCACTCAGTCTCTTTGTCTACTGTCTGGTGTTTACCAACAACGTGACTATTACGAATTCGATTATACAAAAACATAACAAGTAAATGGTGAGGAAAATGGTTGAAGTAACTAGTTGTAGGAGCTGTTAGTAGATGGTTTTTTTTTGTGAAAAGGCGCAAAGAACCGCAACTCAATTAAGTAATCGAATGAACGGTGAACCCGCCCACAGAGTCATACAACCAGTGTTATTAAAGTCGGACCGAGCCGGTCGGCCGGACCGGTAAAATCGGCACCCGCACGTCATTCCGGTTCGGACCACTTCCAAAACCGCAACGGTCAGAAAGACCGGTTGGTGAGAGGAAGTAACGGCTAATTGTTCGGGCCAATCAAACCGAACGACCGGTTTTTGATTTCTGACCGAAAATTAAAAAAAATATAGAAACTTCAATGGATGTCGAGTGCTGTCTCCGCCGCCGTTGTCATCACTCATCGGAATTATTCCCCGCCTACCTAATCATCGCCATTTCTAGAAAGAAAGAGAGGAGATGTCATATGTGGTGAAGGATTAGAAGAACGGTGTCGTGGATAGTCGAGGGATTGGGAATATCAATCATGCAGCAGGTCGATGTTGGTGTGCTAAGGAGGACGGCGGGGTTGAACTGTTTAAGTGAGTGATGGCGGTGTGGGGAAACGGATCAGCGAAGAAGAGAGTGAAGGAGAAAGAGAGGTGAAAGGGGGAATGGGAAGGAAATCAGATGGAGAGAGTGGATGAAGCGGCGCACAAGGGTGGGTGGGGATTAGGGTTTTCTTAGTTATTAAATATATATATTGTCAAATTACCAAGTGGTACCTGCAAAATAAATTTTAGTTTAGTCATTGAATTGTTAAGTTACTGCCTTATGTGTCTTGTACTTATTATATTATTATATAATTGTTTATAACCTATCGGTTCTCTAACGGGTTTTTAACGGCCCAATACCGGTTGAACCACTAAAGTGCGAGCCATACACATTATCGGGTCATGCTCCGGTTCGGTTTTGACAACATTGCATACAACAACCAATGACCAATGTAAGGATCACGAGGATCTACAAGATGTGTACCCGGACTAAGATGGGTACATGGACTAAGAGAGCTACTAGTAGATGATATATGATTCATATTGAACCTCTTCCAATAACTCGGGTTTTTTGGATCAATTAGTTCTTGATTTGGTATCAGAGCCTTTCTGTGACACAAAGGTCTTCTGTTTGAATCCTGATGACCTCATCTGTTCTGGCACATGGTATTCTAATAAGTGCAAACTTCAAAAAAATATGAGTCAGCTTTCGTTTGAAAGGATGTGTTAGTAAATATTAAATAATTCATAATTGAACATCTTCCAACAACTCAAATTATTGGGACCGACTGATTGTTGACGGGAAGTTGAACCCAAAACTTAAAGGTTGCGTGGACAACTCGAGGAGTTAGTCAAAGCAAATGGTGGTAGAAATTATTGGTTGAACAGAGAACATGCTTTTACTAACGTTCCTCCCAATTTAAGGGGACCTACCCTGTGGGGAAGAAGGTGTAGAAGGCTTACCTTAAAGATGAAAAGTAGACATGAGATCTTTTGTAACACAAAGTTTTTCTGTTTGAATTCTGGTTATCTCATTTGTGCTTTCATGCACATGGTATTTAGATAAGTGCAAACTTCAAAACAATATGAGTTGGATTTTGTTTGTAAGGATTTGTTAGTAAATGTTAAATAATTCATAATTGAACTTTTTTCAACAACTCGAACTATTGGGACCGACTGATTCTTGTCGGGAAGTTGAACCCAAAACTTAAAGGTTGCTTGGACAACTCGAGGAGATAGTCAAAGCAAATGGTGTACAAATTAATGGTTGAACAGAAGAACATGCTTTTACTAATGTTCCTCCCAATTTAAGGGGTCATACCCTGTGGGAAAGAAGGTGTAGGAGGCTTACCTTAAAAATGAAAAGTAAACATGAGGCATGGAATGGGGGATTAGTAGTAGGTATCTAACCCTAATAATATTCCTTCCAGTTTCAGTCCAGCTAGCTATTGAGGTTTCTAATAAAGAGGATTGCTTGTGCCACAGTCAATCCGCAACAATAATATGACCACTACCAAGCACCATACTCAATCAATACCACCATCAAGAGCAATTTTCTTTCTTTCTTCCCTTAGGGATTGTTTGGATGGGAGATGATGGAAATGAACGGTGGAGTAATGCAATCCCTCTTTAATTCTTCGAGAATCGTTTTCTCTATTAAGAAGGTTGATTGGTTTTATCGTACAATATTGTGAAAGTTAATATATCCAAAGAAACCATATGGTATACAGTTTCCTGTTCAAATGTTTGTGGGTAGATACAAACTACCTATATTACTACTATGAAGAGGGGGAAATCAACGAGAATCATAACAAGCTCGAATGCAGCACTTTGAAATCACAGCATTGCTATAACATCGATATATCAAAAATCTTGTTGGTCGATTTAAAATGTAATGTTCTGAAGTTTTCGTTTTAGTGATACTTAAAAATGAAGCATTATACTGAAATTCACTTATGATTGATTATTTTGCAAATACTATTTCTAACATCCTTGCCCCTGCTGTACAAATCATTCCTTTCCCTATTTCGATGTGGTTTTCTTTGGAACAAAGCTTCAAGCAGCTATAAGTTGGCGTGTACTGCTATGCGATCATTCATCAACCTGTGGAAGCACAATGTGAGAATATTATTATTTATAGGATAAAAAACAAAATTATTTTCCCATTCTTGCATTTAATTGATTGGAGGGCAGCAAGCAAGCCGGTTTGTTGTATGCATAACATTAGAGGATAGGTGGTGATCGCAAATTTGATTCTCATCGTTTATTATTTATTAGTAGTCATTAACGAGAAGGTTATATTGTATTTTAGAATCGCTTTGATTTTACAGGTGTGTCGAGAATTTATGAGATCGAGTTAAACTCAAATGGTAAAACATAAACTCTATTTATTAGCAACTAAAAGGTAGCTCAAATTATAAAACATAAAGATTGACGTTTGCAAATTTGATCCTCACAAGCTAGTGTTTATATTAGTAGTCACTGATATGACTATATTCCCAAATCACCAGATTTCATAAATTCGTCATATATTCATGAAATCTCGATATACAACGATGCTCACTGCTCGTCCAAAATAAAATGATTCTCCATTTCTTTCCTTTTTTTCACTTTCCGTGGAAAATTCGAAGAAACGGTAGGGAGTGGGTGATGGAAGAAGAAAAAAAGATTCTGATCTATTTTCAGCTTCCGATTGCAGTTTTTGTGAGAGGACAAACAAACAAACAAGATGGGCTAAGGAAACAATCTAAAAGATGCCGTTGTCCTTTGTTATTCTTCTTTTCCCCCCCTTGAGATTTGATGCCAAGGAGGAAATTAAAGGGCAGCGAAATTTGCAAAGTGGATTGCCATTCATTGCCCAGAAAACCAGCGGGGGAAAAAGGAAAAAGGAAGTGCTGATTGATTGATTGATTGATTTGGAACGCACTTAGAAACAAATCTTTATGACGATTTATCACTTTTATAATATAGATCGATAATTATCTTCAAAGCATTTAGGATTTCATATAATTATTACTAATTGCCTTTTTTTTAATTACTAGCTTCAGTTTCGGATGGCTAATGATGCCAATAGAGGCTTCAATCTTTGAAATTAATATGGGTTTACTAGTCTTTTGGTGGTACTATTGTTTCTCGGCTGACAAATTGTCTTTGATGAATAAAGCAAAGAGAAAGACTAACATCAAATATGATATCTCCTCCTTTTGTTTGAAGGAAGTGTTTGATTCCAAAAAGAATTCTTTTGTACATTAATTTGATTCGATTTAAGTGTTGATTTAGTTTAATTTCGTCTACCTTTAGACGAATCTTGCTAGTGTACTGAAAGATGCCAATTTTTTATGGATCTAGCAATAACAAAATTCGCATTTATGCAACGCCATTAATTTTATAAAAAAGTATAATATACACTCATCAGTTAAAAATAAGAAAATCATGCGATTTCATAGCGTTAAATTGCTGCTAACAAAATTCGCATTTGTTGGTTCTATTATATCAAAAATAGAAAAACGGATCTTAAAATTCAAATATGAGATCTAGGGATTGATGATCACGGGTGACGTCTTTCCTTTAATCCTTAGTCCAAGCTCTTTCTTACATCACTTAGAAAAGGGAGTTACAAGGGTAAAAGGTTTGTCGGGAGGAAGGCAGGTGATAAATTGAAGGTCTAAATCACCCTATACAATTGGTGATCTAGTACCTTCACATATGCATTTATTTCATGTTTATGAAGGGTATTTTGGGGTTTGCCTTTTATGGTTAGGATGGTACTTTTATTTGTTGGGGGCAGTGGTAGTGTGAGTTCTAGAGAGGAAAAGAAAATGGAGGTGCATTAGGTTTGGAAAGTCACTCCATAAGTCGGTGCGGTTGTTGTTAACCGCATCATTTTAGCAGTTAATCATAACATCAAATCACTAAATATATAGTAACTGCAAACCACTCTGTAGTGGTTAATCACAAAAAATAATTTATCATAAAGTCATCAATATAATTATGTAAAATTTACTAATAGACAAAATAAAAGAAAATTAGAGAAATAAAAGTGATAACAGAAACGATAAGATATAATAGAAAATCTAACAAACAAATCTCTCTTAGAAAATTAAAAATAACATATGAGAACATATAAAAAAATTAGCAACAATTCAACATCATTATTATTCATAAAAAAGTTCAATAATTTAACAATCAATATAAAGTATAAGTCTTTCGTAACTAATTCAACAATAGAAAAATAACTTAGTAAAGTACTGACTACTAAAATTTTGACAAGTCCACAAAAATTGATAACTATATTTAGTTTATGTTACCATTATCTCCAAAATTGTGAAAAATAAACTTCAACGGTTAAGTGTGATTCGTATTTTAAGCACAGTGACAACTAACATAAAAATTCACAATTTTACTAACTACAACAAAACCACTAACCATTAAATACAGTTAGTAATTAACAAAACTGCGTGTGATTCAATTTCAATGCGCTTTGTGGTTAAACCACAAACCACAAACCAAACATCCATCCATACATGCCTTCATAAAATAAAAAGCAGTGTTATTAAAGCCGAGCCGAGCCGCTCGGCCCGACCGGTAAAACCGCCACCTGGTCACAAAACCAGCTCGGCACAGTCTAAAAGTCGCTCCGGTTTTATGTAGCGGTTGGCAAGCGGCCGAGGCGGTTAACCGTTCGAGCCAATTGAGCCGCTCGTCCGGTTTTTGCCATTCAGCCATTAAATTTAATTAAAAAAATTGCAAAATTTTGAAAATTGAAATAATCCAAAAACGTCGTGCTCTCAAACTGAATCCTTATTTCCATTTCACAATTTCGAAGGAAGAGATGAGCTCTGATTAAGAAATGTCCACTATTTATACTGATAACGTTTATTAGGTACCGGTTCTCTAACGGTTTTTAAACGGTCTAATGTCGGTTGGACCACTAAAGTGCAAGCCGTTCGTATTACCGGGTCATGCTCCGGTTCGGTTCTAACAACATTGATAGAAAGGCTTATATGGCTTGGTTACATATCTTTTCAGCCACAGCTGGACCGAGAAGAAAGAAACTCCCCCAACCAATCCCATTAAATGGGCTGGGCCTGGACCACCCACCTTCACAAGCCCCAACCATCTAATCTTTCTTTCTTTTTTTGATAGAAATCTAAACTTTCTTTCAATACCAAATACAAAATAATATTATTTATGACAACAAAAAATATGGAATCATGTATGGATAAGAAAGTACACCTCATGGTAAACATTTTATTATGATAAAAATAAATAATTTCACACAAATGGTTAAGACACATTACTCATCTTATTAAAAGATCATATTGTATTGTCCAACCATGTTAGATTGTTAGTAGGTTCCACTTTGATCAATGATTTTTATCTTATTGTAGTGTTTTAACAATTTTATCACCATTTGAAATCATTGATATTATCGTATACAATCAATAATGATATTATTTGGTAAAGCCTCGACCCTCCTCCTCCTCCAATCATCACGGTTCTAATCAGCTCGCCTCATTCACATTTTTAGCTCTGCTATTGGAATGGTACGCACACTCCCTCCATGATCTTTGATATAAGTTCACAAACACCGAAGGGTAACATAAATTCACTCAACATCATGAAATTGTATAGTTGAGATGTATTTGGGTGAAATAAAAAAAAAAAAAAAAGGAAGAGAAGAATATATGAACTGGAATAAGGGCACACTACCTCGCCATTATTAGATGCTCTCTCTCTCTCTCTCGTTCTCCTTTTGCTTCTTTTCTTTAAATGGTCCATTTCTCCATCGAATCATTTGTAAGCTCTCCCTCCCCCCACCAATCCTATCAAGTTAGTTACTATTCATTTACTACAAATGATAGTTACATTCCCCCCTTAGTTACAAACGTTTTTCACATTCTTCATTTGTAATTGTACGGCTTTCGTTCTTGATCTCATTAATCTCTCTCTAGCGCAGAGTCAAATATAAATAAGACAAAGGAAGCGATGCTATAAAAAATAAAGTAAAAAACACGGACGCACCATCAATTCTTAGGATAAATTATGTCTGATCGATTTAAAGTGCTAACGCCAGTACATTACAAAATGCTAATTTCGTTTTATGATTTGCTCCATCAATGATTATCAATAATTCATTTAAAAGTTTTTGGTTTTAAGTTACATTGGAAAAATAATATATAACAAATTGTACCCATGTTTGATTATTTGATATGAGTTTTCTGGTTTCAAAAGCTAAGGACACAAACCACTTCCTCCACCACTTAGCCCAAAACATACTGCATTTCGTCTCCCCACCACACCACCACTTGCCCTTGTCCCCATTTTCTTTCTCTTCCTCACAATTTTCCTTCTCCCCACCACTACTTCCTTTCTTCCCCATTTCCCTCTTCTTTTTATTACTGTTCCTGGTCAATCCATTGAAGGGTTTGTTTTGTATGTGAAATCGGAATCACTTGTTCCCATTTCCTCTCTTTTCTGACCAAATAAACAGTGTGGGAAAAATACCCAACAACAATAATCAAACTAAATCATTCTTCCTGTTTTACTTTACTACTACTTTTCTTTCTCATAATTTTTGTTTTTTTTTTAAAGGTGTGCTGTGCAATTTTGTTGGTTTGGCCTCCTCCAAATAAAAAGCCAAAACGACTGCCTATCCATAAATCCATGCTCCCAAAGGATTTGACTTTTCTTGAACATCAAACTATATATAATTGCTGTTGTAGGGCTTTGTTTCTTTGTTTACCTATCTTTACCCCAAAGCTAAGCCAATTTAGATTGAAAATAACCAAAATAATAAACTTTGATGAGTGTTTGTGTTTTCTGCATGTGAGGGGTGTGTGACTGTGTGTTGGGGTGGGGGAGTTGGGTTGTTCATCCCGTTCCCCCCCACACCTACTTTTGGCATTTCCCTCATACTCCAATTACCCACCATCCCCTCCTTAATCACCCACATTAATCTCACTTTTTAATCATCACCGTAACTCGATAATAAGATCATTTCGATTCATGATACCATATCAGACCTCATTGTTACAGATTCACTATTCATACGCGACAATGTCAAGTTGCTCTCAAATTGTCAATGTGGAAAGTAGAATAGTTATACTATGAACGCAACACAAAATCAAAACATTTGAACCGATGATCACCTGAATTGTTAGGGTTTGGAGTCGGGTCCAATCTTCTTCTATCATTAACATTACCACTATGTGAGAGGAAATCAAATGAAAATGTGAATATTAGAAAATGTTTATTTTCGGGTTTCCATAGATTTGTTTTCGAGTGTTCAATTTTTTTACTCCTAGGGCGGAGTGTTGACTCTGGTATACCGTGGAGAGGTAAAAAAAAGAAACGGAAGGGGAGTAGAAATGTAGAGATTGGAAGGGAAGAAATTACCGCAAGAGAGAAAACTGGAAAAAAGAATTCCTCTCGTTTTCTCCGATATACCCCTCTATACAAACGAAGAGGAACAAATAACTTTGCCCTTCTACGACAATTACAAAGGACTTTTTTGTCTTTCTAACCTCTCTCTTTTTCCTTCTTTTTTTAAAAAAACATTCCTTAATATTTTCCAACTAAGGAATGGCCTCGTCATCTACTTTATCTCCTTCTTCCCCGCCGTTTACTTACTACCGTCCCCGACAAGGCCACAAAAAAGAAAGAAAAACTTCACCTGCCGTCACCTTCCGTTAGCCTCTCCATCCCGTTTTTTAACACTCCTAGCCGGCTAACTATCCCCCATTCCGTCACCGTTACCCTCTCCACCGCCGCCGCCGTCGACGTCCATCCCTTCGCCGTCCTCCTCCACCCACCGCTCCACCGGGGCGCACTCCGCCTTATGCCTCAGCTTCCAATCCAAAGCCTGGCAAGCTCTGGAGCAATAATTCACCGTCCCGCAGACCGAGCACCGCCGGAACTCGTGCTTACGTGTCTCCGGCCGCCCGCATCCGAAGTGAGAACAAAGCCGGAGCCCCGAACCGGGCGCCCCGCCTTTTGCAGCGAACCACTCCGCCATGAACATGCTCGCCGGGTGAACCTCCGGCGCCGGGACGTTACATCCGAAGTCGCTCAGCAGCGGACACCCTGGACCGCCGCCAGCGGCAACGGCAGCGGTTGCGCTTCCGCGGTGGTGGTTGTTGGGATGCGCGTGGGGGTTCCACGTGAGCCATGCGCGCGTGGCGAGCCCATTGTTCGGGTTGGAAAGCACCGCCGCGAGCTCCCTCGCGTTGGCCTGTACCAAGAACCGCCGTCCTTCGGCGATGTTCTGGCGGACGCCGTAGCCATCTTGCAGGCAGTGACCGAGCTCGCGCAAGGCGTCGATGTGGCCGAGGAAGGCGGCGCGTGCGCACAGAGCTACTCCGGCTCGCAGGTCCTTGTCGCTCTTTGAACCGCCGCTGCCGTTGAACTGGATGACTGCGAGAGAGTACAGTGACGGCGCGTGAGAACTGATTGCCGCCTTGGCCATCAGCGACGCGCCGCTGCCGCGATTTTGCAGACAGTAGAACCGAATCTGTTACGCCAAAAAGAGATTTGTTAGAGAAGCGAGTTCATCAAAATCTCGAGAGCAATAAATATAAAATTTATTTTCAAAGATATTAATAAAAACGAGAAGAAGAGAAATTCAATTTTTCTTACCATGCCGAGAGTATAACAAGCTTCAACATTCCCGGCGTCAGCGCAGAGCTTCAAAAACCGGTGACCGGATTCCGACCAGTTCTTCGCCTTAATTGCGAAGGTCTTCTGAGAAGCCTTCGCCAGAACTTGCGGATTAAGGGCTAAACAGTTAAATCTCTTGCATCTGGAAAAACAAATCCAGAGGAAAAAAATCGCTCAAAACCAGAAGGGAAAAAAAAAACGAATCTCCGGCGGGGAGAAAGGAGAAAAGGACGGCACCGGAGCGGAGAAGAGAGGCCATACGTTATCAAGACGTTGATGAAATCCGACGGCGATGAAGCGGATGAGCTAAGCTTGGCGAGGATTGAGAGAACAAGATCGTCGGGCAAACCGTCGAACATATCGCCGCCGTCGTTTCCGTATTCCGTCTCCGGCGACAGTCTCTGCCTCTTTCCGGCAAGACTCTCGGCGGAGGCGGTGGAGGCTGCGAAATCGCGTTTCGCTCTTTTCACAGCTCTCTTGTCCACACCACAAAAGTCCATCCTCGGGTAACAAACGCCTCTTCTCGTCCTCATTCTCCTAACAGACTGAAATCACGGAATCTTAGATTCCTTCCTCTTTCTGGTTCCTCCGGCAGCGTTCCGGCGAACCGTTTCAGCGTTATTTTCTTTGTTTTCGAAATCCTTTGATTTCTCTCCTTGGGCGAGAGGGAAGACGAAGGAGAAAAAGGGCGAGTGCGAGCTTTATATAAAAGGGAGCAAAAGCCAAAAGCAAGAAATATAGTGAGAGAGAGAGAGAACAGCAATTCTCCCATTAAACAAACACAAAAACCCAGAAAATAAAATAAGGAAAAAAGATATTAATAATTTATTAAGTTACCTATCTCTGTAACTGTAAGAGTGAGGTGGGGCCGCCTGGCAGTGCTGCTAAATTACGCTTCCAACCTTCTGTACTGTCGTTTCGACGGTCAAAGCCGGTTGACCCAGATCCGCCTCTTCGTCCTTCATCGTGCATTTGTTCATTATATTTTTTTCAAAATATGAATTCCGAGGTATCCGTTTTTTACAAACCCTAATAAACTCTGTCAGTTTAATTAGGAAAAAGAATTCGGATTTATAAGTTGGTAAATGATTTTTCTTTCAGTTTTTTTTTGTTTTCTTCTTGGTTTTATCTGGAGAACAATTTGGAAGCAAACTCTATGGCAGATTAGAGAGCAATTAGTTTTCAAGCTAGGATGATAAGAGATTAAGATATTGAGATTGTGTATGAAAGAAGTTAAAGTAGACTTACTCATACAAAAAAAAAATTTGAGTCTCGACTCATTTCATTCTGTTATTTATATTTGTTATAGAAAAATTGTGAAATTTTCTAAGAAGATTAGGAAGGAGATATGAGTGGTTAAAGTCGTTGATAGTAAAAAGGGGTAACTAACTTTTGTTATTGAAAGGGTTAAAGTATTTTAGCCCTGATACCAACAAAACCAGCATAAACGCGATTGACTCAGGTGTGGCGTGTTTACCGTTTCTTTCTTTCTTGTTTGTTGTTGTAACGGATTTTCTCAATGGTAAAATCAGGTGTTTTGAGGGCGGAGTTAATTTTTCTATGTAAATTTATTTTTGAAGAGCTTTTTTTTTACTGTTTCTGTTACGTTTGATTCTTAAAATAATATACCTATATAAGTACATAAATTGTTAAGTTGTGACTTGCAAGGGAGTGAGTGATCCGCAAGGTGGGTATTATACGGTTTTGGAGGGGGGGAAATAAAACAGCATGGAGTGCAACAAAATCCAGATTCCAATTCTTTAGTCCCGTCGAATTCCAAGTGCTAATTTGGGCATAATTTTGTTCCCTTTCCTCCCATTTTTTTTAGTTTGTTTTAGAGGCATGGAGATGGAGGATGTTAGTTTCCCTTCCCCGTTCAATTAGGGATGTAGTGGGAGGCTACTTAGTACTTACTTACCAAGAAAATTAGCTTAAACTAGTTAATCTTTTTTCCTCCGAAATTATACTAGTTTTTTTGGATGTGTTTGGAATTTGAAAATATGTAATTTAATTACATGTATTTTGAAATACTTGTGTTTCAAATGCATGCATTTGAAATAAATTCATTAAACTACATGTATTTTTAAAACATGTAATTTTTTTTTATGAAATCAAAACATGTAATTCAAATTCATTGTTTGGATATTCATTTTGTTTATTTCATATACTATTTATTTCATTTTGTTACAAATTATTATCTCATCTTATTTTGTTGTGCAAATAAGTGCATAGTTTTTTGTGGCAAAATTACATTCTGGTATCGTTATATTTTTAACTCTGTGCTATGTTACCTAAACTTTTAAAATTTACAAGAAGGCCTGATATGTTGCTATGCTGAATTTCAAAGCACTAGTTATTGATATATATCTCAAAATCACAAATAATACACTAGATATGTATTTGAAACTCACTAATGTATTTGGTACGAATCCAAATACCATATCTAATTAGTAGTTAAACAAAAGATTTATTATTGAAATTCCAAATATCAAATTCAAATCCTCTTATCCAAACAAACCCTAAGTGGATTGGTACTCGAGGTTTTCGTGTTTTGAGTAAATACTATATGTATAACATGTTTTTTTTATGAATATGTATAATATGTTATTAAGAAAATAATGTGTTACAAATTTTATATTTGTTGTTAAAGTTTAAGCGATGTTTAATATCATTTTCAGCCTTTTGTTTTTACTGAACATGTGTAGGTTTGTTTTCATATGTTGTTGTGGCAACAAAAGTTGATAACACAATAGAAACTAGCTGAAAAAGTGAAACCGCTATAAGTAATTTCCTTGTTGTTTTCAAAAGTTGTTTAGTGTGTGATCCTATCACTTTTTGGAAGAATTTCATTCAAGAGAGTCTATGGCCAAATCTCGCTAGTGACTAGACTCACTTTCTATATATTTTTTCTCTCCATTTTGGCAAAATTCATCTCCGAAACTAGGGGTGGGCAATGAGTGGATTGAGTGGGTTTTCGATCTTAAACTGACTAACCTGCTTACTAACGAGTCAGTACAATTGTGACCAGCAATCCACCCACACACTACTTCGAGTCGAGTTGGGTGAATGACGGATGGGTGCGGTTAGGTTGTGGGTTAACCTACAAAAGTGATTTTTCAACTAGTAATTAGAGAGGTTAGCATTTATAATAAACTACTCACAAATTAGTAAGAATACATTAGTTTAGAAACCTCCCACCAATTTGTCTCCTATGGGAATGTCTAGTACTTGTATTTAGGGGTGGGCATACGGTTCGGTAAAACCAAACCTAACCGAACCGAACCGAATTCAAACCGAACCGAAACCGAATAACATTACTTCGGTTCGGAATTCGGAAGAGAAAATGGTATATTTCGGAAACCAAGGTCTTTTCGACCGAACCGAATTTCCGAATTCCGAACCGATTTTCCGAATTACTATAATTGCAAGTTCCTAATGGTGAATTTTTATGTTTGTACTTTTTATGAGACTTAAATATTTGAATTATGTTAGTGTTTTATGAGTTATGTGTTGAAATGTTTAATTTTATCATTGATGATGCATTTAATTGCATATTTATTGTTTACATTAGGGGTGAAAAATAATTTAAAAGAGAAAAAATACAAGCTAACCTCACAATTTCGGTTTTTCATACAAAACCGAACCGAACCGAATTATAATTCGGTTTGAACCGACCGAACCGAATTATAATTCGGTTCGAATTCGGTTTGAGGTTTGATGGAACTCGGAAACCCGGTATACATTATTTCGGTTCGGTTTGAACCGAACCGACCGAATGCCCACCCCTACTTGTATTAGATATTTCATTACTTCATCAACCAATTATTTATAGAAAGTTCACTTTTTTTTTTCGAGTCGGATACAAATAAAATACAATTAATAAGCCCAAAAATATTCTTTATTATCCGCCTTTAGAAGTCGAAGGTCAGTGTGTAGTCCGGTTAAGAAATAAAATGACAGCTTGTTAGTATAAATAAGAAATAACATTTGAAAATTTGATTGATAATTTTCATATGTTAGAATTAATATATAAGAGAAGTCCAAAATCAAAATGTTAAATCATTCACCATTTTTTCACCTAACGATGAATAACTCGTACATTATCTACTATTGTTTTACCTTTGGTTTGGGCAAAAGAATAACTCGTACCAAAGAATTTCCCCGTGATTTTGGCTGGTGCGGATTTGAAATGCCGAGAGGGAAAGAGAAGAAACGGTAGAACAAAGAAACAGAGGAGAGGTCAAAGCTGTGGAATCAGCAGCAACAGAGGTGAGGAGACGAGGGGATTCAGTTTCAGTCAGTTACTCTTTCTTTTGTTTGTTTTTTTTTTTTTTCAATTTCCCACTCCATTTCGTCTCTTTGCCCACAATTCCATGCGAATCCATTCATTTTACAGATCAGTGATTCGAGAGAGAGAGTAGATACCTTGCTTAACGAAACTAATTAGTGGTCCAAACCCAAACGTAATTATAATAATGCTGTTGATTGTTACTAGTTTTGGCTCTTTGATTTCTCCACTCGGTTTCTGGTTCACCAAAATTCAAGGACGGCATTTCTAGTATATTATTATTATGGATTCATATTTTGTTGGTGGAATTTTGTCGCTGTTATTCTATTCCCAACAATACAAAATCTATGAAATCATCAAACTTCAACTTCATCGATGCCTATATGTGTGTTTTCCTCGGCAACTTGTGTGAGAATGATTCCATATCATCGTGTGCTTGTGCTCTCTTCTCAACAAGAGGGGGTTTACTGTCGATTGGGTTTTAAATACTTAGCAATTATTTTGAATTGCAAACAAAACAAAATATAGTAGAAGAAAGTCATTGATAAAAGTGCTTCGTCGTCCCTTCGAGACATTCCATAAAATTATTAAGTCACAGTGTTGTTTCGACTAGAACACTCAGGTCACTAGATTACAAGTACCTTGGATTATAACACTCATTCCTGGGTTGCACTGTGATGATATAGTTAGACCACAAATGTAATGGTATGGTGAAAATATTGGAAAAGTAGTTTAATATAATATTCATGTCCTTGTTCGTATGATATCTCGTATGTTATTTTCCCTCCTGTTTGGTTTTAGAAAAATTACTAGATATGAATATATCAAAGGAATTTTAGCCTAACGGCTGACTATATGAAAGTTGTATTAGTGTGGACAACCTCTGGTAGGTGTTGATTTGGAGTCACTTTGGTATATGCTCAAAATTTCTCTCCTTTGTGGTTGTAATTATAGCTATGAACTTTTATTGGAGGAGAAAGTTTAGGGACTAAACTATAATGTTTCTTCTTCATCTTTAGTTTTCTTTCAATTCTCGAGTATGGCTTGCCTAGCGCCCAATGCTCACGCTGCTCTAACAATCAATAATGCCAATCACACGTAATTTCTCAATCCCAACAACAATCTATCGACTCCCTTGTCCACTCTCGTCTTCAACGACAACAACTGTTGTTCTTGGGAGAGATCTATGAGGCTTGCACTTCTCGCCAAGAATAAGCTGCCTATTAATTGTCTACTCCACCATCGATCTTCTCATTGATGGAACCTGGGAAAAGATGCATTGGTATGGTCCTCGGTTGGATCTATCGCCCACTTGCTCCAGACATAGCACAAAGCATCTTATAGTTCGATTCGGTGGTGGAAGTATGAAAGGATATATGGGATCACCTTAGTAAGGCGAGTCTTAATTAATTATTTGCATCTCAAGTCTGTAGGACAAGGTTAATTTTCTCGTTTTGTCAGGAAAGTGCTTCCATGAGCGAGTTCTTCACTCGTTTTCGCGTGATTTGGGCGAGCTAGTGACTTTGCCTCCAAAACTGGTATTCTCTTACAATCCTCGTTACTCCTGCGGTGATCTCAATCTTCTCCTAGCTTACCTTCACACAGAGCGATCAGGTGATTTGATTCTTGAAGGGGCACTACAACAATTTTGCTGAGATCCACAGTGAGATCGTGCTCCATTGCCACCAACTAGAAGAGTCTTTCAAATGATAATTCAACACGCGTGTCCAACTCACCTTCATGCCTAGGTTATACACCGAACCTGCTCGCTCTAGTAGTTCGCTCCTCGAATTCGTCTGGTGGTTAAGGACGTCTGTTATAATTATGCCATACTCGTCCGAACTTTATGTTTGTTGTATATCACTTCAATGAGCTTATGAGTAATCCGTCTAGTGTCCATCTCATCTTCACCCTCTACTACTTTGTTATGTGATAACTAGGGGTGGGCAACGGGACGGGACGGGATACCCGTCCCGTTTTAAACGGGTACCCAGTCCCATTTGGAGGCCAAAGTCCTTCCCATGTCCCAAACTCATATGGGAAACGGGTACCCATTACCCGTACGGGACGGATAACGGGTACCCATAATACCCATAAATACCCAAAGTTTCATTCCCTTAACTGGCTTCATTCCCTTGATTAGCGATGGAAACTATAAACCAAATCAACATAAACCAAATAGACAGATGCTGGAAATTAGAAACATAATTAGTAATTAGCAGAACAAACCTAACTAGCAATTAGAGTCCAAAATATGTACTGTAAGTAGAAAAGAAAAAGAGAATGGCAGCTGCATACCTAAATAGATAACAACGTCCGGTGAATGGTGATGCTGCTGAAATGGCCAAGGCCCAATGCCACATTTCTGAATTAGAGAATTGGGTTGGGGTGTTGGGCTGTGGGCTATTTCTGGTAAATGGGTATAACGGGTACCCACATTACCCAAACGGGTATTTGCGGGTAACCCGCGGGTACCCATATTAGGAATGTACAATCCCAAGTCCCATCCGTTTATAATAATACGGGTAATATGGGTACCCGTAACCCTTAAAAAACGGGACGGGTACGGGTATACCCAAATACCCGTTTCCCGTTGCCCACCCCTAGTGATAACCAATCCACAATTAGATTAGTTGAAAATTTAGTTGCCCATGAACTTACCAAACATATATAAATAGATTTTCGTATAATTTGTGATCGTGTACAAAGTCTTACATGCTACTAGCGAGAATACACTCACTGATGTCCATCAGTGTTTTTTGGTCTCATTTCCTAGCTGAATCGTTTGGACATTCACAATCTAACTTGCAGAGGATCGTTGGAGGACTCAAAAGCTAACGAGTAGAAATTTTAGGGACCTAACTGTAATGTCTGCTTATTTCTGCACCATTATGTTAGTTCACAAGTATGCAGCTTGTAAGATGGAAAAATGTACGTTTTTCATCCAATTGAAATGAAGACCTAATATGTTTTCTCTCAAACGTTTGACAACTATTACTGATAAAAACCTTGCGCAAATATCATATCAATTACATTCATGTATTTTTTTCCATGTCAAATGTTCAAACTTCAAAATGTACAAGGAAAATAATAGAAAGGAGAGTAAGAAGAGAGCGTGGAGAAGCCACACGTAGCTAATCGTTACATAATCATGCTACTACAAGTATAGTGAAACTAGAAACATTATTAATTTCTTATCTCAGCATATTCACAATATCTTTGGATTCGAACTAGATGTTTTGTTAGAGATCTTGTTGATGTAACTTGAATCAGACTATAAGCCATTACGACTGGAATAGTCGGGTTCTGGGCTTGGTCTGTAACCGTTCCCTTTACCAGATTGGATTAGGTTTAGACCCACATGGAGAAGTATAAATATTTCTCATCTCCTTTGTAATCTGTAATCTCCTCGATATAGTGAAACTGGCTCTCTCCTGCCCGTGGACTAGCTAACACACATCGTGTTAGTGAACCACGTAAATCGTGTGTCGTGTCTTTCGATTCTCACTTTCGTATTCTTGCTTTCTCGATTCTGGCGATTTCCCGATCCGTAGTAGCGCGTTTATAACAAGTGGTATCAGAGCCGCGGCTGGAAATCAGGCTAGGGTTTTCGATTCAGAAGAATGACGTCGGTGAACATGAAGATCGAAAAGTTCACGGGGAATAACAGCTTCGCTATATGGCAGATCAAGATGCAGGCTTTATTGAAACAACAAAGGTTGTGGGGGTCGCTGTCTGTGAAACAGAAGAAGGCAGCGGTCGATGACGATGCGTGGAATACCCTGGAGGAGAAGGGACACTCGACCATCATGCTATTGCTGTCTGATGACGTCATCATTGAAGTCGCTACTGAGAAGACTGTCGCGGGCTTATGCTTAAAGTTGGAGAGTCTGCATATGACGACGTCATTAACCAACAAGTTGCATCTCAAGCAACGGTTGTTCAGCTCGAGGATGCAAGAAGGTACGCCTTTGAGGGATCATCTAGAACAACTTAATTCTATTTTGCTAGACTTACGCAATATAGATGTTAAGGTTGACGATGAAGATACTGCCCTAATCCTGCTTATGTCTTTGCCGAGTTCATATGAGAATTTCGTGGATTCTTTTATTGCTGGTAAAGATAGCTTGTCGTTGGAGGATGTCAGATCTGCTCTTCGCACGAGAGAGATCAGACATAAGGAATCTGGTTCTGGTACAGGTGGTGAAGCATCGGGTTTGGCTATTACAGGTGGAAAGGGAAAGAAGAAATCTGGTAAAGGGAATTCGAACAGGAATTCCAAGGGTCCCGGTCCATAGCCAGGTGATGTTTGTCACAACTATAAGGAAGTGGGGCATTGGAAGTACAACTGTCACAGGAGAAGAGGGCAATAGAAGAACCACTGTTCAATTGCCGTGGCAGAAGTGGACAACAGTTTTGAATACGATCTCGCATTGGCTGTAGATGAGAAGGCACATCGTGGTGATGTATGGTTTCTGGATACTGCAGCCTAGGACCATATGTCTCCGAACAAGGATTGCTTCACAACCTACGAGCAGATAGATGGTGGTAACGTGGTCATGGCTAATGAAGCTGTCTACAAGGTTGCTGGAATCAGGTCCATAAAGGTTCGGACACATGATGGTTCATTATGTACCGGGAATAATGTCAGGCATGTTCCCCGAATGACAAAGAACCTGATATCCTTGAGTCTACTCAACAACAAGGGTTTCAGCTTCAAAGGAAAAGGTGGAGTTGTGTATGTCTGCAAAGGTTCAAGGAAGGTGCTGAAGGGCGTGAAGCGTGAGACCTTGTATGCATTACAAGGGTCTGTGTTGTCTGGTTCTGCTGCAGTTGCATCGTCTCAGGTTCATCAGGAAGATATGATCATTCTCTGGCACATGAGACTGGGGCATATGAGTGAACGAGGGATGCAAGTTCTGTCGAAGAGGGATCTTCTTTGTGGGCACAAGGTGCATAATTTGGAATTCTGTGAGCATTGTGTCTTTGGGAAGCTACATCGCAACAAGTTTCGCAAGAAGGGTATCCACCGAACGAAAGAGATACTGGATTACCTCCACTCTGACTGTTGGGGTCCTTCACGAGTTGAAACCATTGGAGGAAGTAGGTATTTCTGTCTATTATTGATGATTATTCGAGATTTACTTGGATTTTCATGATGAAGCAGAAAAGTGAGGCTTTCACAAAGTTCAAGCAGTGGAAGACATTGGTGGAGAATCAGACCAGAAATAAGATCAAGAAGCTGCGAACGGACAATGGTCTGGAGTTCTGTAGTTCTGAGTTCAACAAATTCTGCAAAGATGAATGGATTGACCGTCATCGGACCGTTAGAGATACACCCCAGAAGAATGGCATTGCAGAAAGGACGAACCAGACATTGTTGGAGAGAGCACGGTACATGCTATCTAATGCTGGGCTGAGAGAAGATTCTGCGCAGAAGCAGTGAACATGGCGTGCTTCCTGATTAACCGTGGACCTCACACAAGTATGGAGTGTAAGTCTTCTTATGAAGTGTGGTATGGTAAACCTATTGATTACTCTTCACTGAAAGTTTTTGGGTGTCCTGTTTATTATCATGTGGATGAGGGTAAGCTGAACCCAAGGGCAAAGAAGGGTGTATTTGTGGGTTACGGAGATGAAGTTAAAGGATTTCGAGTCTGGTCACCTTCTGAGCATCGAGTTATACTCAGTAGAAATGTGACATTTGATGAGAAGTCTATTTTTAACCCAATGTTGAAGGTTACTGTTGTAGTGTTGTTGAAGGTAGCAGGAATGTTGATAAACAGGTGGAGCTGCAAACTCTCAAAGAGAGTGAGTTTGAGCACCAAGGTGGAGAAGATCAACATGATGAAGATGTCTCTGCAAATCCAGAAACTTCAGAGTCTAGTGCACGAGCTCAACAGTTTATGGCTTTCGGTAGACCAAAGAGAGCGACTGGAGGAGTAGCTCCACAGAGGTATGGCTTCGAGGACATGGTGGCATATTCATTTCAGGTTGCTGAAGAAGTGGATGTAGGAGAGCCATAATCTTATGAAGAAGCAGTTTCGGGTGGTGAAGTTGATTAGTGGCTTGTCGCAATGGGAGATGAGATGGAATCCCATGACAGGAATCAGACTTGGGAGCTAGTCGAAGGAAGATTGTGACAAGCAAGTGGATCTACAAGAAGAAGGAAGGAATCAGTTGTGAAGAGGGAATTAAATTTAAAGCTCGGGTGGTTGCACGAGGCTTCTCGCAGAGGGAAGGAGTTGACTACAATGAGATTTTCTCACCAGTGGTCAAACATACTTCAATCAGGATGCTACTAGCAATTATGGCGCATTATGACTTGGAACTCGAGCATCTAGGCGCGAAGACAGCTTTCCTACGTGGAGAGTTGGAGGAAGAAATTTATATGACTCAGCCAGAAGGATTCAAAGTTCCAGGAAAGGAAGACTATGTTTGTAAGCTGAAGACGTCCTTGTATGGACTTAAGCAATCTCCGAGGCAGTGGTACAAAAGGTTTGATAGTTACATGCTTGAGCTGGGCTACAACAGAATTCCATATGATTGTTGTGTATATCACAGCAATACAGAGAATGGTCGATGATATATCTAGTTCTATATGTGGATGATATGCTCATAGCTGCGAGGTCGAAGTCTGATATCCAGAAGTTAGAAGGGGCTTCTCAGTGCTGAGTTTGAGATGAAGGATTTGGGAGCTTCTCAAAAGATCTTGGCATGTATTCAGCAAAGCCTTTATATTCTCCTAGTGCTTCAAATGTTCATCTATCCTCAGCTTATGCACCGCTGTTAGAGGCTGAGAAGGAGTACATGTCGAGAGTCCCATATGCTAGTGCAGTAGGTAGCTTGATGTACGCTATGGTATGCACTAGACCTGATCTTGCACATGTTGTTAGTGTTGTCAGCAGGTTCATGATACAACCTGGGAAGAAGCATTGGCAGGCTGTGAAGAGGATCTTTTGGTACCTTAAGGGTACACCTGATGTGGGGATTATCTTCGGAGGTGATACAGAGTGCTTGGTGTTTGGGTATTATGACTCGGACTATGCTGGAGATGTTGACACGAGGAGATCGATGACCGGTTATGTATTCACTCTTGGGAGTTCTGTAGTGAGTTGGAAGGCAACTTTGCAGTCGATGGTGACATTGTCTACTACTGAGGCAGAGTATATGGTGTTAACAGAAGATGCTAAGGAGGGAATATGGTTGAAGGGACTGGTTGGTGATCTGGGTCTACATCATGATCAGGCAGTGGTACGTGTATTGCGACAGTTTGAGTGCAATATGCTTGGCCAAGGATCAAGTCCGCCATGAGAGGACCAAGCACATTGACGTGAGGTATCATTTCTTGAGGACAGAGAAGATGATTAAGGTGATGAAGGTTGGCACCACGGATAATCTTGCTGATATGTTCACGACATCGATTCCACATGGCAAGCTCCAACACTGCTTGGACTTGCTGAATGTCTTGAGTGGGTGACTCCGCTACGGGGCACTGATGGCGGGAGAGAGAGAGAAGGAGCAGAGTACATCAGAGATTTCAGAGGAAGAGGATTCAAGTCAAGGTGGAGATTTGTTGATGTGACTTGAATCGGACTATCAGCCGCTAAGACTAGAATAGTCGGGTTCTGGGCCTAGTCTGTAACCGTTTCATTTACCAGATTGGATTAGGTTTAGACTCACATGGATAAGTATAAATACTTCTCATCTCCTCTGTAATCTGTAATCTTCTCGATATAGTGAAACTTGCTCTCTCTTGCCCGTGGACTAGCTAACACACATCGTGTTAGTGAACCACGTAAATCGTGTGACGTGTTTTTCGATTCTCGCTTTCGTATTCTTGCTTTCTCGATTCCGGCGATTTTCCGATGCGTAGCAACACGTTTATAACATATATGAATCGAACCAAACTGAAAGATAGAAGTGTAAGAAGCGGTACCACATAGCTATAGCCTGAGCCTACATACACAAACAATCAAACAGTAGAACACGAAACTGAACTGTGTGCGGGAGGGAAGTGGGGAATGTGGTTGTGGTCAGTAGGGGTGTTCAAATGGTTACCATGGTAATAACCAAACCAAATAAGTCTAAAATCTATTAATCATGAAATACAATATCATAAACAAACCGTCCAAACTAATACAACAACCAAATTAACCAAACTAAAGTTTATTCGGTTTGGTTAATTGGTTAACCAAAATAACCAATATAACACCACATTATCATTAAGTGAGAAAATTTTTTAGTTAGTGCATCAATTTGCAATTTATATAATGAACAACACATAACAATCCACATAATTATAGTTAACCCTTAACGTAAATACATGTAACAAATACAATTATCTTACGTTTGACTCTTGAGTGGTTATGCAAAGTATTAAGTATGTGCATATAATATATATTAGATATATGACAAATTATTTAACTGGTTAATTTGGTTTGATTGGTTAGGAGTGCCTGAAACCAAACCAGACCACTTAAACCAAACAAGCTAAATTTTTTAACCAAACCAAACCAATTATCGAAATTAACCAAACCAAATTAATCAAATACAACTGGTTAAAATGGTTACCATGGTAACCAAACCGTTTGAACACCCTAGTGTGGTGGCCGGGAAGTGCTACATTCCCACGGCAAATACATACTGATACTGGGGGATGACGTGATCCGCACGCGGTCAACTTTACCAATCTTTATAATCAACTTTTAGGGGTCGTTTGGAGAATATGAGTTTAAATCTATAGATTTTCAACAATCTAAAGATTCTAACTCTTCGGATTGTTGAAAATAGATTTTAAAATGTTTATTGTTTGGTAACTGTGATTGTTAACATTCAATGAAAATAAAAAAATTATTTTTATATTAAATAACGTGTTTATCTTTAATAAAAAATTACAGTGGTTCGAGAAATATTATAAACTTTGTTAGTAAATATATTTAATATGATAAATAAATAAAAGAAAGAGAAAAGGTAGGAGGAAAAAAATCTCAAGAATCAAGATATAGAATCTCTCTGATTATGAGAGATTTGATATCCATAGATTTTAGAGATTTGAAATCTCTAAAGCTAAAATCCACAATACAAAAAGCAACAAAAAAACATAACTTTCTACAGAATTTACGGATTCAATGAATCCATGACCTAAATCCCGTTCTCCAAACGAGCCCTATCTCACCGGCCCCACTTGTAACCCCATCAAATTATTACAACCTCTCTTACTACTATTCACTACTGTTACTGTACGATTTCACCCTCCTACTGGTGGTAGTATTTGATCAAAAGATCATTTTGTTTAAAATTATACTATTTTTATTATTGGGCCACATCAGTAATTTTGTATTCCGCGTTTTTTACTAGATTTTTTTTTTATAAAAGTGATATAGGT